ACTTGTTGGCACTCAACCTTAGTAGTGGTACTTTTTAGCATAGTCTGGCATCCAGGTTTCTCATTTCACATATTTACTGAGATTTGCTAGTGGTGGCCATTCCAGAATGAAAAATTAACCTCCAGAAAGATTTGATTTTGAGGTGGATTTACGCGTTCTCAGGGTTCTCTGATCAGTTACCAATGACCGTTAGTCTAGACATCCTCCGTAGAGTTCCAGCTGGAGGATCACTGTCTCAGTGTGTTACATACATAAATGAATAGTATTGCACATATGCTATGCGCTGTAATAATTTATAAATAAAGCTAAGATGGAGCATGGTCCAAAGCAATTAGACGCGAAGTATATGAAAGTCAAAATGTATAAACTAAGTGAAAACTATGCACGCAGCCTGGATTAATCATTTAAAGGGGCATTTTTCAAGTGAATTAAATCTCTGGGAGAGAGTTGGTGGTATTGTTGGGGAGCACGTGACGGGTGACATGTGGTAAAGAAACGCACTGGCGTGCGGCTCTCAGAGCTGCCCTGTTTGGGGAGTCAGACTACAGCCTGATGGGAACTCTCGCTCCTTCCCTCCAGCTTTAACAGACGACTGCACCCCGCTCCTGGCCATCACGGACGCCACGTGTGTGATTCACTTCAGCTTCCCTTCCTCACCAAAAGTTTTTGGGGGACGACTGTACTGCATGTCTGATCATTTTCACTGTCTAACTGAACAGGTTGGATTCATATTGTTTATTATTATTTAATACTCCATGGCAGTTTTCTGTGCAATGACAGATTCAGAGTGCACGGAGTGTCATGCTGTAGACCCATATGGATGACCCACCTCCTGTACTCTCCCTGACTTTAAGGGCTCGACTGCAGACCAGGGAGAGAAAAGAAGCAAGTCTGTTTTGCTGCTGACAGAGAAAAATGCGTGCCATGCCATTGGTGTCTTGCGTTACTTGGAGCGATCAGATGCCAAAATCCCGTCAGAGCTTTATGAGTTCACCGCGGGGGTTCTGGAGGCCAAAGAAAATCAAAAAGCCACACAACCTCTTTGTCAGTACCTTAAGGCTTTTGGTTTCTGCAAGTAAGTTAATCCTCTTTTTTTTTTGTTTTCTTTTTATAACTTGGCCTATATAGTCAAATGCACAGATGATATGTTTATAGCTTGTGAATCGTCAACTATCTATACACCCATTAAATCACCACCCAGCTCTCTAGGGGAACACCCTGAAGAACCTCTCACCGTAGCTTATGCCCACCCACCCCTCTAAACTTACCTGATGTCTGTCAACATGGGTTCCTTTTGTTTGGTGTTTGAACACAATCACATCCCTGGAATTGTACAGTCCGTTCTCTTTCGTGTCCGACTCCTTTCTCTCACCCTAGTATTGGTGATACTCATCTGTGTTATTGCTTGGACCAATAGTTCATGATGTATTCATCCTCTTGTGCTGGGCTCTTGGGTTGCTTCCAGTGTCTCTGAACACTCTGTGGTGTCTCTCCTTGGAAATAACTGCAACCGTTAGCAGTGGGAGCGCTGGGTCCTGGTGTTGCTTTATGTTAGCCTTTTCTAAAGCTGTTGACCACGTTACAATGCTGTCAGGAGTGAGAGACTGCAAGCTGTTCCATATCTTCACTAAAATGTT